TATTTACAAATATTTTCCCCATAGTAACAGATTGAGATTCCTTCAAAACTTTCTCCTTAAATTCTTCAGCTACTGGCTRGGTTTTTGTCTTCTTCTGCTCCTTTTAGCTTTATCTAATCGTCTGTGGTTCAGATATGTTTACCTTTAAGCTGCAGTTATTTAGCTTTTTCCTTACTTTTTTGCCTAATGTAACATATAGCTACAGTTTCACTAGTTTTTGCTTCATTTTTTAAACACATTTATTTTAACCTACTGATTTACGCTTTTAGCTTTGAGCAGCTATTTTGCTAATGTTAGCTTTTAGATATTGCATTATACGTTTAGTCTGTAGCTACTGTTGTGCTAATTGTAACAATCAGCCACAGTTGCTAATTTTAGCTTTAAATTATGGTTTTGTTATTTTATGGTTCAAGCTACTGTTCTGTGAAAATTAGCTGGTAGTTTTACTGATTTCAGCTGTTAGTCACAGTTTTGCTGAAATTTCTGTTTAGCAACGGTTTTGCTGATTTTAGCTGTCATTCATGCTTTTGCTGAAATTTGTTTAGCAACAGCTTTTGCTGAATTTAATTTTTAGTTATGATCTTGCTAATGTTTGCGTTCAGCAGTTATGCTGATTTTAGCTGTTATCTCAAGTTTTGCTGAAATTGCTGCTTAGCAAGAATTTTACTAATTTTAGCTTTTAGTRATYGTTTTGTTTTAATAGAGTTGTAACTACCGTTTTGCTAAATATGTCTTTTAGCAGCAGTTTTGCTGATTTAAACTTTCAGTCAAGGTTTTGRTGAAAATTTGTTTTGCAACCCTTGTGCTGATTTTAGCTGTTAGTCATGGTTTTGCAGAAATTTGCGTTCAGKAACAGTTTTGCCGATTTTAGCTGTTATATGACTTTGCTGATTTAAGCTTTGTTACAGTTTTGCTAAAATGAGCATTTAGCCATGGCTTTACTAGTTTGTGCTTCTAGCTAGATTTGATTGAATTTAGCTCTTTGACATGATTTTGATTAAATTCATATTTAGCACCAATTTTGGTGATTCTAGATTTAATTAATGTTTTGCTGATAAGCATTTTTGACAGATTTTTGCTTTTAGCTACAGTTTTTCTGATTTTAGATTTAATTACTGTTCGTTGATATTAGCATTTAGCTACATCTCTTCAGATTTTAGCTTCTGTTCCGCTTGTTTAACTTCAATGATTTCCTTTTTCATCAAAGTAATTCATCACTCAGCATTCACACTGTAGTTTCTGCAGTTRATTTAGCTGCGTTTTTTTTGTTTGTTTTTTGTGCCCTGACTTTAAATTCTAATCATGTTTCTGTAAAYCACAGCTTGAGTCATCACACTGATGAACAACACACAGAACAAGACACAAGGCAATGATCGTACTCTGTGTTTACAGCTACGGGCCACTGCATGCTTGCTTCTAGAGTTCCTTTTTAAAAAACAGCACAACATGCCCTGTGGTTGACATTTATCCAACAGTGATGCAAGCAAGAAGCAGGGGTGGGTGGGCAGGGGAGGGTCAGTGTGCATTCAGGGGAAAAAAAGGCATCTCTTGCAACCAAGCGCACTTATGATGCAGGATGACGAGGCATGCCAGGTGAAGAAGCAGATGAGACACATACCTGAAACTCTGCAGGACAAAATGGGACAGAAAATGAGACTCACAGTTAATGGTTTGCTGTCGGGTCCCCTGCCAGACTTCTACCTACAGAACTTTTTTTGTTTCTTTTTCCTCACGAAAAATCAAATCTGTCTGTTTCTGTGCAAACAGCGAGCCAGTTCTGACGCTGACTAGCTCTGGTGAAACTGACGAGAGATTGATTTAGCAGCTAGGTTTGGATCGAAGCTCTCACCTCGGCCTCCCCCACACATGTCACCATAGCTGTTGTACTGCGTGAAATCTGTTGACTGAGGCTGAAGGAACAGAGACAACAGCACATTAACATGCGTTGGATTGTTGATTTCAGACAAAAAAATGGTTTCATGATCGAGTGATTAAGAGTTAGCGCTGCTTTCGTTTTTGGACTTTTGGTTTTCTTTTCATGTGCTCTCACCCGATGTAACCCGTTCCTTCTGTACCCGGGCAAAGAGTTAGTCTTTGTTGGAGATGTTCGATCTGAAAAAACAGGATCGTAACGCTGAGATAAACAACAGAATGACATCTGCAAAGCTCTGTGATCTGGATGATAAATATTAGCAGCTACAGTCCAGGTGTTGTGGTGCTGACAAATCAGGAGTAAATCAGCTGAGGAAGCAGCTTCGTACCTGCATCACAGTTGCTCGTTTTGGGATCGTAGCGTTGAGCAGAGAGGCTACGGGCGTGACGCTCTCTAATCTGCTCTTTTTCCATCTCCTCCTTCAGAATGAGTTTACCTAAACCAGACTGAATCTGAAAACAACAAAACAAAACAAAACAAAAAAAAACAATTTCTAATTATTTACAAAAAAAGGACACTAATTGTAGAAATGGTATGTTTATCATATTTTATTATATCTGTAAAGCAGTGGTGGGCACAGTGAAGTTAGCTTCACTAAACACTAATCCACTAAACCAGAGTCTAAGTTCTGTTAACGCTAAACTGGAATCTTAGTTCTGCCAATGCTAAATCACAATCTTAGTTCCGCTAACGCTAAACCACAATCTTAGTTCCGCTAACGCTAAACCACAATCTTAGTTCCAATAACGCTAAACCACAATCTTAGTTCCAATAACACTAAACCACAATCTTAGTTCCAATAACGCTAAAACACAATCTTAGTTCCAATAACGCTAAAGCACTAAACAAGAATCTTGGTTCCGCCAATGCTAGACTGATAAGCAAGAATTTTAGTTCCACTAACGCTAAACCGCTAACCCTGAATCTTAGTTCTGTTAACGCTAGACAGGAGTCTTAGTTCTGCTAATGATAAAATGCTAAACAAGAATCTTATGCTGTGTCCAAAACAGCAGGTCGGGTCCTCCGGGAGGACCCAGCCTACCTGGTCGAGGTGGGCTGGGTCCACCTAGATCACTTTTATTTAAAACATTCTTTTCTCTCGCTTCGTCCGCCATTACTAGCATAAAAAAAAATATCTCCGGTCTGGCCGCAATGCATTATGGGATATGGTGGGCCAGGAAGGATCAATCGGACCAATCCTTCAATTTGGGCCAAAGGAAGGACGTATTTGTCGGCCGCATCGGAGTCTTCGGTTTTGGACGGCCTCCGTTGCGGCGCTGTGACGTAAGCGGCCGACGAATTCGGCCTTTGGAGGACCCAGRCCACCGTTTTGGACACAGCCTTAGTTCCAGTAATGCTAAAGCACTAAACAAGGGTCTTACTTCCACTAACGCTAAACTGCTAACCCTGAATATTAGTTCTTTTAATGCTAGACTAGAGTCTTAGTTCTGCTCATAATAAAATGCTAAACCACAATCTTAGTTCCACTGACGCTAAATCACAATATTAGTTCCGATAACGCTAAAGTGCTAAACAAGAGTTTTGTTTCCATTAATGCTAGATTGATGAGCAAGAATTTTAGTTCCGCTAACACTAAACTTCTTCACTTCACTTAATCTTAGTTCTGTTACAGCTAGACTAGAATCTTCMTTCCGCTAATGATAAAATGCTAAACAAGAGTCTTAGTTCCGGTAATGCTAAAGCACTAAACACCGGTCTTAGTTCCGCTAATGCTAAATCTTAGTTCTGTTAACGGTAGAAAGGAAAAGTAATTCCGCTTAAGCAGATTAGCCGTTTAGCAGAACTGTGCCCACGACTGCTGTATGGTATTTTWTTGTGTCACCACTAAGGTCTAGAGATGCTCATGGTGAAACACGTCTGGTTGAGTTTGTTGTGGTTGACTGACCTTATTGAGATGTTCTTCCTGGAGTTGCTTTTTTTTCAAAGCCTCTTCCTCCTCCTCTTCTCTAGATCTCCTCCTCCCCTCTGAACCTACAGGTGTCAAACGGGGACCAAAGCGTCACACAAAACATTTTTTTTCACAAATCCCTGAGGAAAGCATGCTGGACGAGTACCAAACAACTGGACATAAGGAAAAAACAAAACTGTAGAGATATGATAAATAATGAGTTTTAAACATGTGGACAGTTTGAACACAAATCTGAGACAGAGCTGACGAGACAAACAGAAGGACTTATTGGAATATTTGGCCACACAGACATCAATGTCGGGAATTTCCTGGATGTCGAATCAAAAAAAAAAAAATGGTGCGACAGACAAACAAAAGTTTGAAGTCAGTCTCCGTTATCTCTGTCCAAGTCATTTGTGATATTGCTACAGGTAGCCGAAGCGCTCATCAGGTAAAAGGAAGCAAAATGGTGATGCTACTTTAAAGGGATCCACGATTAGTTGTAACATTAGAATTTATTTGATAAACATATATTTTTACTGAAAAATAAAGACTGTAAAAATACCGTAGCTGTTTAGCGAGAAAGAGGAGAAGGTAGAAACAACTCAGCCTGCAACTGAAAATATGGATGGAGGACAACAGGGCTGATGTATTGGAGAACCTCAGCTTAGRCTGTTAGCCTTCATGCTAGCACTGACGCTATCACCACGTATATGTATTAGCTCAGCGCTACACATTCTCCTCCTGTCAACTGAAAATATGGATGGAGGACCTCAGTTTAGCTCGTTAGTTTGTCGCGCTAGCGCCGAGCTAATACATATAAGGCAATATAGCGTTGGCGCTAAAGCTAACAGTCTAAGCTGAGGTTCTTCTTCCATGAAGCAGCTCTGTTGTCCTCCATCCATATTTTCAGTTCCAGGCTGAGTCATTTCTACCTTCTCTCTGTCAACGCTCTCTGGTTTCATTTAAAAGAGTCGATCGTCAGATATTGTCCAAGATTAACCTTCAGGGTGGATATAGCTCGCTAGCAGCCTCGCACCGAGGACCTATCCACGCCATCATTTACCCAGAATGCTTTGTGTGTAAATAAAATGGCTCCATCTGTGTWAAAATATATTTTTAAAAATTTACAAAACTAAACATCCTACAGTATTTGTACCGTCTTTATTTTACAGTTAAAATATATGTTTATCAAATAAAGTCTAATGTTAGAACTAATTGTGGATCCCTTTCAGCAGAAAACAACATGGCGCAACAGAAACCCAACTCTTTGGCTGAAAGCAAACTCAGGTGGAGGCGTCTGGATAACAGCTCGCAGTAAAGCAGGGATGCAGTTCAGCCGGTGAAGGTAAGAAAAAAAAGGCAGAACTGGTTTGTGATGAGTCTGGTTTCAGCAGCAGGTAGAAGTGCAAACACACCCATCAGCAGCCTACTGTACCTAACACAACCAGGGAGCGGGGCCAACAGTCACCCTCGCTCCGGGAGCTGTCGTCCGGAGACGGAGCATGGGCGGCGGGGAAGGTGGCGGATCTGATGATCTCATCAGCAGACTTCCTCTGATGAGCTATGGCAGCTGCGTCTAGGTTGATAACCATGGGAACTGAGCTATCAGTGTCTGCGTCACAGTCTCAACTACACGTAAACATGTCTCGGCACCGTCGGGCTCAACAATCAATAAACTCATCTGGCCGCGATGCAGACGTCTTCCCTAACAAGTCACCGTGCTAAGAGCCGAAGCTAAACGGGATAGTTTGAACATTTTAAAGGGATGTTCAGTAGTGATCAGATGTGACATCACTCAAAGAGGGCGGAGTTTGGAGGAAGGTGCAGAAATCATAAATCTACTAGCCGAACAAAAACAGTTCTCCTCAAAATCTCTAATTTAACAGCTTTTTTTTAGCTTTTGGCTGCTAATTTGATAATTATAGGGTTTAGTCCTCATAGCTATGTTAGCTTATAATGAATAGCCAAATTTAGCTTTTACCTATAGTACTGCTAAGTTTAGCTACAATCTAGATTGTTTTAACATTGCCTAAAATTTTGTCTTGTTTAGCCACTGTTTTATTTACGTTTTAGCTTTTATCTACAATGTTGCTWGGTTTAGCATTTAGCTATGAATTAGCTAAATTTAGGTTTTAGTTACTGCTGCTACTTACAGCTTTTAGCTACAATTTAGRTGATTTWGKCTTTTACCTATACTTTWGCTAAMTTTAGCCTTAAGCTACTATTTAGTTTGTTTTAACATTGCCTAAAAATTTGTCTCAATTTAGTTTCTAGCTACTGTTTTGTTTACTTTTTAGCATTTATATATAATTAAATTCAATTCAGTTTATTTATATAGCACCAAGTCACAACAACTGTTGTCTCAGGGCACACTGTACACAAACATAAATAAATAAATAAATAAATCTAAAGAAGCCAGCACACTGCGCAGAATCTTCAATTTTACAAGATTTAGCTTTTAGCTTCAAATTTGCTAAATGTAAGTTTTAGCYGTTGTTYCTAATTTTAGCTTTCAGCTACAATTTATCTGATATTTGCTTAACTATAGCTCTGCGAAGATTAGCTGTTAGCTACTATTTAGATTGTTTTAACATTGCCTAAAATGTTTTGATTTAGCTTTTAGCCACTATTTTATTTACGTACCTTTTAGCTTTTACCTACAGTTTTGCTAGGTTTAGCTTTAAATTGCTTCCCACACCCTTAGCTACCATTTTGCTCCATTCAGCTTCAGTTTAGCTTCTTTTAGCTGATGTTTTACCTTCTCTTCTCTATTTTAACTTTGACTCCTCAATTTCAGCTTCTTCAAACTTTCACTTCACATTTTTGCAGAAAATGCTTTTTTTACAGTTCTGTTATGAAGTTAGAATACTTCAGCTTTGAAAAACAAATTGCAGGAAGAATAAAAAACAGTAAACACTGACTTCACTTATTTCTTATAAATCAAAGGTTGTTTTTGACTAAACTGACCCTTTGAAAAAGAAGATCGGTCACATTGTTGATGTGAAGGAGCCCAGTCTAACATTGTGACCGTGACTTGTTAAGACAGACTAAAAGCAAACTGCAAGTCAGACAGAAAAGGGTTAGAGACAGACTTCAAACAGAACACTGACGCAGGACAGTGACTATGGTTAGGTGAACACACACAGTCAAGCCAATAACCAAAAAATTCAGTTTTATACCATTAAACTGCTAAACTGTTGCCAGAGAGACTCAACTATCCCCTCATAAACAAACTAATAACAGACTAAACAACCTAGATTTAGATACTCGTGGCAATGATTTCAGTATGCAGTACGTCTTTAGACACATTTGGCTTCAGTTTCATACAAAAATGTTTTTGTAAATTATATCAGAAACAATTATTTTATTTACCCTTTGATTTTAAGCCTTACCTAATTTTCAGCCTTATCCATTTTACTAAGCATGTTATTTAGGAGAAAAAGTACCGTGTTGTTTGTAGATGGGCGGTTTTCTGTAGATGTTGATCCCCTGATCTGAAAAACATTTGATACAGAGACAAAAAAAACATTTAGAGTCAACCAACAAAAGGTTTAACAATTACAGCAAGGTTTCATAACCTGTTTTCCATTTCTATTTATTGGTATAATTCTAATTGTCAAGAGAGGAAAAAGATCAAATTTTATTTTAAATGGAGTGTAATGAGTGTAACCAAACAAACAACCAGACAAACAAAAGAAACAAACAACAAACCAAACAATTAACCAAACAAACAACTAATAAATCAACCACACAAAAAACAGGAATCAACCAACTAACCAACCAAACAATTAACCAACCAACCTACTCACCAACCAAACAATCAACAAAACAATTAGACAAACAACTAACCAATCAACAAACCAAACAATTAACCAAACAAACAACTAATCAATCAACTGTTCACACAAAAAACAGGAATCAACCAACTAACCAGACAACCAACCAACCAACCAACCTAACAAACAATTAACCAATCAACAATCTAATTAGACAAACAATCAAACAAAAAACCAGACAAGCAAAAAACAAATAGCCAAACAAACAAACAAAACAAACAAACAAACAAACAACTGACCAACCGATAAACCAACCAGACCAACACCAAAACAAAGACACAAGAAGATGGGTCGAGCAGTGACAGGGTGCGCTCCAGCTCCTACCTGGGACGTGGAAATGTTTGGGGGTCTGACAGAGAGGCGGGGTGACCGGCCGGCTCTCGGGCCTGAGCGGGAGGGGTGAGCTCCGGCCGCTCGGCGGGTCGGCGCCTCGCGTGAGAAGAACCGAGAACAGAACATGAGCAGAGATGCTACAGGGGAGCCACGGTCTGAACGGTGCAACACACACACACACACACACACATGGACCAACAGGACCAGGTGTGGACATTCAGAGCAGATGGGAAACATTCTGATTGGTTCTGAAAAATCCACTTGATGGGGTGGAATAAAAGCAGTCAGAAGAYAGTGAATGTGCAGGAAATGGATGAGCGTCATTCGTCGGCAGCTGCAGCTCAGTCCCATAACCTTAGACTTGGTTAGTACTTTGGGAGGTGACCAAACACACAGCTACTTGGGCAAAGTAAAAAAAAAAAAAACGATGGCTCGGACCAAAACACAACAGGTTTGACTCTAATGGGAGATGYTGGWG